TACAGAACTAAATGAGCAGAAAAGAACTCTACCAACAGCGTTATTTCTATTACTTTTATTGTGTGAGTGTCTTTTGTAAAATGGAGGAAATTTCTAGACCTACTCCTAATGAGTAGAATTTATACAACATGTGTGTGTGTGTGTGTGTGTGTGTGATAGAGAGAGAGAGATAGACAGTCAATGACTGCTGCAGTACCAGAAGAGAAGACTGCAGATTTATTTTCGAAAATGTGGTATGCCGCAGTCTCAGAATTATATGTTTTGCATATTTTCAAACTGCCCAAGTCAGAGTCAACTGCAAACTGTTTAATAATTATTTCAGGCTAATAATTCTGATGTAGAAGACAGTACAGTTAACAAGCAGAGTTCATGAAAGCCATACAAAAATTCTATTCACGACAAATACTGTCGGATAATCCACTGAAAAATCTGCTGAACACAAGATCAAAAAATAACCCATCACTACATAGCAAAATCACAAGCTTAATATTTAAAGATGTTGAAAGAAACCATTCTGCCAAACACTGAAGCTGTTTCTTTGTTTGACTTTTCAGAGAATTATTAATTTGCACATCAAGATGTCATATAACAGTTCCACTAGGAAACTGATCAGGCCACTCTCTGTCCTTTGGTAATTTATTATCACTCATCAGGACCAGAAAATAGCATTAAATAAAAGTATAAGTTTCAACGTAATCAGTCACTGTCTTCAGCATACAACTACAGTCCACTCTTTTATAAGCTGCACTGTAAACCACTTGGTTTCTGATGTTTTACCATACTTAAGATATATTATTTCAGTAAAGGTGCAAATTCACATTACAAGACCTGTAAAAAACTTCCTGAACTTTTGTTATAATGAAGTTGATATCATGTAGCTACAGAGTGGAATTTCTATGCTACTTTTGCATGGCAAACATCCTTGCACGGGACTGATAGAACAGTGTACCAACTTGTAGAATGTGCTAGTCTTCAAGCAAGTGAGAGAAACCACATTTTAACACTAGAAGACACATAAAAAGGCCAAAGAAAATATAACAGGAATTATATTCTTCTACATAACACAGAAAGAAATGAAGGCACATATTTTAAGACTGACAGGCTACAATAAGCTAAAATTGTCCCTGGTACATGAAACCACCATATGTTTTTGCCAATTAACAATTCAGAAATTAAGTTTATTTCTTATCTTCAGATAAAGATATGGGTACCAAAGCATTACAGGTTTAACTGATGTTTCTGTACAGACAAGTCAGTTATGTCCCAGAAAGTATGTTGTTGCTATATACTACAATGGCTGGTACATCAGATGTATCACTGTACATCAAGATGAAAAATGCGACATTCTTCTAAAATTTATGAAGAGAAAGAATAAGGTATTTTGACATTTAAAAGTGAGGAAGAAAAAATAAATCTAATATTCCCACTGTTCACATTCTGTGTACAGTGCCAACACCATAATTGTATGGAAGGAGCGTACAACAGTAGAGACTCCAACATGCTCTTACAGACATAAGAACTTTCTTCAATACATTGAAAAAAGAAGAGAATACCTTAACTACACGTATAATGGTTAATTTCAAGTGATCTGATCATTATGTTTATGTATTTTGAAGAACGTCTCATTTACTGTCACTTGTTATAAGGAAATACTTCTTACATACATATTTAAAAATTTATTTACCATCACTCCAGTGAAAGTCCACCCTGTTTATCTGAAACAATTGTAGGCACGTTCATTGACTTCACTGTTCAATTTGACATGGAATGGCCCAAATGTTTAAAAAAACTGGATTTACTTACTTCCACCAATATTTTGCCATGGACATATATGTTGCCCTGCGTAGAGTAGGTAGTATACTATATAATTATTGCCACAGAAAATAAAAAGTTCATGGGCTACGCAATGTCTGCTCTACTGCCAATTTACAATATTAATGACTACATGGCTTTTAGCCACAATTTTCTGATTTCTTTATTTACATTTTTTCTGTCATTCTTCATCACATTTATAAGTCTAATTCTGAGGAAAAGAGCAGACAAGTGTACTGATTACATGAAAAGAGAAACTAGATTTTGCTGATGAGTGGTCAGAACTCAATACTACATAATCTGAGCTATTATAATGTTATCAAATAAAAAATAAATAAAATATATAAAAGTAGAAACAGTATCCAATACCATACCATACCATACCACTCCACTGAAAATATTTTGTACACGATGAAGTACAAACCATATACCAAACTTACGTAGAAGCTCATTAAATGCCACTTACAGGTTATGATTCTTGATGAGGATAAAAATTCCTTGTAATGCCAACAGACTGACAGCTCCACCTATGTAACAAATGTATCCAAGACTATCACACAAATTCAACAGTTGACTAATTACAAACCTAGTTAATTTAACAAGTATTAGCATATCATTCCAATATAAAACAATTTTTGTTACTGACTTCAGCCAAGGCTACAGAAAATTCATAAGCAGTACCACACACTGGAAAGGAAGAACAATCACTTCAAATTACATGTTCACCTTAATATATACGGAGTGCAGTATATAGTATGTTGTATGCAAATGGTCAACTAGCCATGACATCACCAGGGCTCCAACTTACACCCCCCACCCCATCCTCTCACTACCAGCTGTGATTACATCACCAAGATCAGGGTGCAACTAAAGACATTTGAAACACAACAGCATATTCCCAAATATTCCTGAATGAAACTGAAGCATTATGCATTGTCTTGGATGGTGCGAACAGTGCAGATCTCTCTGGAACAAATAGACCTATAAAATGTATGGACAGCCAGATGTAGAGTCAGCAGCGAGTTGATGGTCGAAAGAGATAAAATTCAGGGCAAGTCATGTCCAGTATCTCAGTTAGAGCACGTGAGAAGAAAAACGTGTGCTGTGACATGAATGCTGAAGCAGCGTAGAGCAGCAGTGTAATATGTGTACGTAAGGAAAGAAAACGATTATTACGAGTTTGATTTAAAGATCAACAACACCAAAAGTTGAGAAAAATAGTAAACTGTAATACTGAGTGATTAGGAAACCCAAATTAAAGAATTCAAAGTAGTTTAATTACTGATATCCATTTCAATATATTGCATTCATCAAAGAATATTCTATAATATAAATGTGTTACCAGCATGTGTGAAATCATGAACATATGAATGATGGTCATCACCAAAAATAACAGGTAATTTCAGAAGACAGAAATCTTAAATATACACCTCTTTATAAAATTAAACTGTATATTGAAAAATAATACTTTCAGGGTAAAGTATTATTACTTTAGAAAACAAGTGGAAAAGTGCATTTCAATTTGCAGCACACACATTTTCTAAACATGGTCTCTGTAACTTTTCATACCTCATTGATCTTGATGAATATTTACTCCAGATATAAATCAACAGGTGCAAAGCTAATTACACTATATAACACTGTATAAGAGCCAGACACATTTCTTCATCATCATCCTGCCAAGGATTGGGCCCTTTGCCCATTCTGGACAGTTGCTCAAGGCAACTTGCCATATTAGTCTTTTTTTACACATTCTGGTAGCCTTTATTATAATCTATAAAGCTAAAACTGAATAAGGGAAAGTATATTATAATAAAGACCCCTAAATACAATCCCCTTTTATATATCAGAATGATTGTCAAATTATCTAGTCTTGATATCATGTCTCAGGGAAGCAGGTCTGAGAACTGAACCCTGGACTACACTGTCACAATCTTTGCAATAAAAGAACGAAATCTATATCCACATGAGCAAGTTTAGTAGTAGTAGTTCCTGTAACTCCCAGGTGGAGCATGGGACCTCCTTTCGGAGCTTTCATAGTCTTCAAAGCATGCATTTAAGAGCAGTGAGTGACTAGCCCACTGACTGTACGATTTCCACTCACCCCTGATTTGACTGCCAGAGCCATCTAACAGTGAAGCAGTGAATCAGGAGAGACTTGGGTGAGAAATGGCATCCTCGCAAGGTTCTTTTACTTGTCGTAAATCTACGACATGGGACCGCCGGCTTTACTTCCACTCCGAAGAAAGTTGTGCTATGGATTTTAATCACCCTTAAAAATCTATTGACCTCAGCTGCAGTGGTGAGCACGCTAACCACTAGTCCACCAAGGGTGACACAATAAAAGAATACTAATTGTAATATCACATTTTCTTGCTATTCCCAACAGTTACAACAAAACCCCTTAGTTCAACAGTTGTGGAGTGATCACCAAAAGTTTAAGCCCTTGATCGAGCCTTGGCCTCCTCCCATGTGGGCGGTTTCTTTGTCTTTGAAGTGTGCATTTATGAGTAGTGAGTGACAAGCCTGCTGACTCTGCACCATTTCTACTCACCCTGATCTGTCTGCTAGAACTATCTAGTAGTGAATCAAGAGAGTCTTAGGTAAGAAATGGCCGCTGAATTTTGCTTACGAAACATCTCATTCATGCTCGTAAG